CCACGGTAGGTGAGCCACCGTATCGGCTGTTCACCCACAGCACCTCTTCATGGCAGGATATACCTCCTCTTTTCATGACGTACAGGCTGGGCAGACCCACCTCTCTCCCAACGCAACTGTGGAGCCTTGGGGACTGAGCCACGGCACCTCCTCATCCCCTCCTGCCCCTTTTACATACCCAGTGGGGCAGCTGCCCCTGCTTGCCCCCTGAGCTGCTGCGGCATTGATCCCGGGCAACCTCCTGGCACCTGGGCACCCAGAACGTGGGGCAGCCCCTCTCGCAGCAAGGAGCCAGCCCACCCACAGAACTGTGTACCCTGTCTCTGGCCTGCCCGCAGGGCCGTGGCTGGGCACAGACATTGCCCGGCACACATCTGTGCCAGGCCAGGGAGAGGCTGCAGACTCAAAGCGTGGGGCGGGCAGGGCTGGGGAGGCACTGGCGCCAGGGCGATCACCGGCACTGCGCCTTCTGCTGGAAGTAGGCCTCGAAGCGGCTCTGCGCATAGTCCTGGGAGGGGAAAAGAGCATCAGAGAACTGCCCTCGTCCTCTCCCCACCAACATCCCCAACCCAGGGCACGGGACGTAAGACCGCTTCTCCTGCTGGGAATTATCCTCAGAAGCCCACGCCCATCCCTCCCGGCTGCCAAGCCTGGAGAGTCCAACCTGTCCCCCAGCTGTCCAGGCAGGAGGATCCCTCCCCACCCTGACACCCTGTGTCAGACTAGGGGTGACATGCAAGACATTTTCGGAGCAACTTCTACATGAAGGCCCGGCCCATTCCACTACCCCTCCTGGCACCCGAGGTTGCACTCACCAGGTACCCAAACTTGATGGTGGAGATCTTTGCCTGGAGAATGGACCACAGGCCCCAGAAGAAGTGAGAGGCCAAAGCAAACCTGATGGGAGAGCAGCCATCAGTAACCCCTCCTATAGCTCCTCTGGGGCTCCCTTCTCTGCCCTGCAATAACAGCACGCAGCCAGGAAAGGGATAAAGAGGATTTTTGGGATGCTGCCTTGCCTGTGCACCACGATCAGAAAGTGTAACCCCAGGTACTGCTGTCACACGGTCACAGGGACATTGCCTCCACCCCCGGCTGAGCCATGCTCCTCACCGGTTGATCTCAGTGAGCATCTCTTCCTCAATGCGGGCCTGCTCTTCGTGTGTAGTGTCCCCACGTCGTCCTGAGTCCTCAGAGAGGTAGTGTCGAATGAAATGCAGCTGCAAGCGGAACAGAGCAGGCAAGCTCAGGCACTGCCAGCCACAGGGTAAGCAGGCAGGGGCTGGCCAGACTGTCCTTCTCTGCAGCAAGGGCCATAAACAGTGCTTGCCCCAGCGCAAGTTCACCGGCCCCTGTGCCCAGCTGCAGTCCCACCGCCCAGCGGGACACCTCCCGCCAGCCTCCAGGAAGTCCCAACACCTTGTCCCAACCCCTGTGGACCCTCGCGTCACACCCCAACACTCCAGCCTGGCAGCAGCCACCTCCTCCTTACTGCTGGGGGATGGGACAGCTCTTACCTGCTGCTGCCGATTTGGATAGTTCTCCAGGGAAGCCTTGTAGAAGGGCCAGGAATCATGGGTGTAGTTGTAAACCCACTCGCAGAAATGGTTGCCGATATCAAAGCCCCTGGGGAAAGGAGGGGATGAGCGAAGACCTAGCTTCTCACAAGGAGAGGGCCAGCCCCTGCAGCTGCTGCTGTCCAGACCCAGCACAAGGCTCAGCCCAGCCCCAACGCCCTGCAGCCCCTCACACCCACCGGTAGTTGTAGCTGCTGTATTCAAAATCGATGAGCATGAGCTTGTCGGAGGAGGAAGCTTCGTGCCCAGCCAGCAGAAGGATGTTCCCTGTGCAGAGACAGGGCTGGGTCAGGGCAGCTCCAGGGAAGGGCAGGAAGGGAGGACCCACAAGCTCTCCCGGGAGCTGGGGAGCAGCAGCTACAAGCAGGGGCAGGAGGATAAGCCTGTGCCCGGGGCAGGACATGCCGGGAGTAGCAGGTTCCAGCAGGGCAATTCAGGGAGAGAGACCGTCTGCAGGATAAGGCCTCCACGAGGGGAAGCACTGAGGGAAGAAGCTCAGCTGGGGGGAGCTCCAGCCCAGGTTGGAGAGCCGCCTGCCTTAAGGAAAACAGCACCCCCACCCGCACTCACCTTCCTGGACGTCATTGTGGCAGAAGACCACAGGTGAGGGCGTGGACTCCAGCAGCTCCCTGCAGTTCAGGGGAGAGGGACACCTCAGCAGAGGCAAGGGCTGCCCTCACCCATCCCCTCTGCTACTGCTAGCTCCCCTGGCAGGTTGTCCCCATGCTGCATCGCGCCCAGCAGGGAGGCGCCAGCACCACCACAGCAGCCAGGGGCAGACAGAGCAACAACAGACACAGCCTCAACCCCAGAGCGTGAGCATCTGCCAGCCGTCTGCCAGCAGCAGCAGCAGCAGAGGCCTGTGCAGGACCCTCAGGTGGAAGATACTCTCAGAGGACGCAGGGAAGGGGAGAGCTGTTTCCAGGCAGACTGACTCCCACCAACCTCCCTACAACTAGGCTGGCTTTAGGATGGGCGTGAGAAACAGCTCAGCCCCCTGCCTCAGGCTGAGACAGGATGCAGAGTCAGACTCACCTGAGGCTCTTCATCTCTTCCTGCAGGTTATAAGCCTTGAGGCAGTTGAACTTCTTCAGCTGGGCTTCTTCAGGGAAGGTGAGCTCTGAAATCTGCTTCAGGTACCTGGAGCGCAGGAGACAGTCACCTCCACAGAACAGACACACCCGGAAGCTGCGACCGCGGCAACAACAGCCCTTCGCTCCTCAGCCCAGCCCAGACCTGGGGGCTGCCAGGCCACTGACCTCTCTGTACCATAAACCTTACAGGATTCCAGAGGTTCAGGTGACTGTGTGGAAAGCTGCGCCCCTCACACAGAAATGGAGCTGGCCTTACCCCTCCATGGTCCCAAACAACCACTTGGGCTCCTTGTTGAAGGGCATCACCATGCCATGGAACCGGGACATCTTCACTGCGATCTCCCTGGAGATGTCGGGGTCCCACAGGTCCTCAGTCCGGAGGCGCCGGCTCTGGGGACACAAAGCAACGTGAAGCTACTCAAGTACAGGGTAGATGTGACCGCTCTGCCGTGTCCCAGGGGGCCTGACTCTGCCCTCAGTGGCACAAGAAGCCACTGCTGGGTGCCTCCGAGGGGAGGAAAGCACCCGCTGGCTGGAGCCAAGCAGAGGGCGCGCAGCCAGGCAAGAGAGGCCCCTGGACACGTGGCCTCCAGCAGGACCCAGGCGGCCTGGGGGAGAACTCGGCCCGTACCGGAATGTACTGCTCCAGTCGTCCCTGGGGAAAGACGCCGTAGAGCCGGGGCCCCAGCTCCCGCTCTGCCAGGATGGCGAACATCACGCTCTCCAGGACCAGCGAGTCCACACCCTGCAAGCACAGAGACAGTGAGCAGCAACAGCCTCCTCCCCGGGCGGCCGGCAGCAGGCCGCATCCCCGGAGCGCATGCGAAGGTCCTGGGGACGGAGGGGGAGACAGCGCCTAGGGTAAAACCAGGCCTCGGCGTTGACCGGTGCAACCCCTCGGCTGGCCCCGCAGAGCTCAGCGGGGACGAGGACGTCACCGTTGGGCGTGCTGGGACG